CACCGCCACCGACGTCTCTTAATCTTCCCTCTAATAACTGTTTTTGAAAAGTGTTGTTGTTCACACTTCTAGATATTTTTATTTTTTTTTAAACTTTTCTTATAGTTTTGCTTTGTTTTATTACTTTTAATAGGTTGGGTCCTTTTTAGGCAACCCTATGTAGAAATTTGATTTGGAAATAAAAGACTCTCTAAGCCTAAATTTTTTTTTGTAAAAAAGAGTTTAATAGTTACTTCGATTAGGTCATCAACATTGACTTATTTTGAGTACATCCATGGGGAGGGAGGAGGGAGGGGTGGGGGGGAGGGGATAAAATCAAAATTTTAAAAAGGCTTGAAAATATTTCAAACTTGACTTAGTATACACATGCAACACACGTATCAAAAACTAATTAATCGTAAAATAAGGTCTTACAATTATTAGAAATGTCAAAACTTAATATATTCAAGAAATTTAAATATTTTGCTTCAACAATGCTTCTTTAGAAAGAGGAAAAAGATCAACTCTTATATACAATAACATTAAATTTAGGGAAAATGCATAAGTACCCCCCCAGCCTATGCCCGAAATCCCAGAGACACACCTAACCTTTACTAAGGTCCTATTACCCTCCCGAACTTATTTTATATGTAATATTCTACCCCTTTTTGGCCTACGTGGCACTATCTTGTGGGCCCAGCGCATGTTGACAAATTTTTCAAGGATAGTGCCACGTAGGCCGAAAGGGGTAGAATATTATAGATAAATTAAGTTCGGGGGGGGGGGGTAATAGGACCTTAGTAAAAGTTAGGTGTGTCTCTGGGATTTCGGGTATAGGCTGGGGGGGTACTTATGCATTTTCCCTTAAATTTATCTAGTTTATCTTTACAACTTTCCAACAACAAATTTGAGCATATTTCATTTAATTCGATTTGCTATTATTAATTTTCCAATAGCAAATTTTGGAAAATTTTATTTATGAAAACTTTTCATGAGGCTCATATTTGTCTTGAGGTTGGACTAACTTGATTTCACGTCAGAAAATTCATTTTGAAGGATTAAACTTTTTTTAATTTTTAATCGGTGTAAAGTCTCTGTTTTGAGATCCGACTAACCTGGAGAACTAAAATGTTCTTTACTAAAACAGGTTTTTTTTTTATGAGCTCCGATTTGAGATTTCAGTACTAGATTTATACTTAACTTTAATTGATTGATTGTAATTTTAATATGGAATTTTTACTTAAAACCAAAACTAGATAAAAAGTCTTGAAATTTTTCAACATGATTCGATATACACGTACACCACACGTGACAAAAAACTAATTTACAATAAATAAGGTCTACAATAATTAAAAAATGTCAAAAGTCAATATATTTGAGAAATTTAAATATTTCCTTCAAGAATATACCTCTTTAGAAAGAGATAAAAACACTCTTAGCCAATTGCTCTTTCCAAGTTTCCACAACAAATTTGAGCATTACTTCATTTATGAAAACTTACCATGAGACTCCTATTTCAATGACATTCAATATTCATGATAAAACACAAATGTGTTTTGATCTAATTCTAATGAACTCAATTATGTCTATTATAGAAGGTGTCGAGGTAATTAATTCCTAACTAATTATAATTTAATCTTAATTTTATGTGTAATTGTTTACTCGAATGTTTGTTTTAATGATATGACATGATTTGATATACACGTGTAACAAACGTGCATATTTTCTGAAAATTCAAATCATATAACGTTTATCTATGTGTGAAATATGTTTTTATTTTATTGAACATTTTTTTCGATTACTAGGCAACAAAAAAGCTTCAATCGATGGGGATTACTACGATGATTGTGAGAATAACAACTCCAGATGACAATGAAGAATATCACAAACAATTTATTGAAGTTGGGCTTGATGAATACTATGCGAAGCCATTAACAAAAGAGATACTTCAGAGCCTTGTTGAGAAAATTTCTAACAAAGTTTAGAAGAAAATCAAAGGATAAATTTATATTACAATTCTTATTATAGAAGAAATAAATCACCTTATTACAAGACTAAAGTTATATAATATAGTACTTCTTTAGTTATGTACTTGACTTATATATACAAATATTACTTTCAAATTTGGTGAGTGTTAAAGATGTACTTGTAGAACATATACATTTATGATTATGATGATATATATCCCTATTATTATGAGCTAGAATACTTGTTTTTGTTGGTTTCTCATTCGGAGTGTCATATTTATTTTGAGGTCTGACTAATTTGAAATCATGGTTAATATATCATGCACCTGGTAAGAGCTTTGAGTTGTGTTAAATTCATATACAACAAGTTTACATATAAAGGTATTGTTGAAGACTATGAATATTCATTTGAGGAGAGAGTTAAGAAGCGTACTAAAATTTTTATAGTGAGTAATTTTTTTGTGGATTTGAGTTTTGATGGCAGTATTTTAAAAAGGCTTGAAAATATTTCAAACTTGACTTATTTTGACTACGTCCATGGGGAGGGGGTCTAAAATCAAAATTTTAAAAGGCTTGAAAATATTTCAAACTTGACTTGATATGCACATACGACACACGTGTCAAAAAATTATTAATTGTAAAATAAGGTCTTACAATTATTAAAAATGTCAAAACTTAATATATTCAAGAAATTTAAATATTTTACTTCAACAATGCTTCTTTAGAAAGAGGAAAAAGATCAACTCTTAAATACAATAACATCAAATTTATCTAGTTTATCATTTTCAACATTCCAACAACAAATTTGAGCATATTTCATTTGATTCGATTTGCTATTATTAATTTTCCAATAGCAGATTGTGGGAAATTTTATTAATGGAAACTTTTCATGAGGCTCATATTTCTCTTGAGGTTTGACTAACTTGATTTCACGTCAGAAAGTTCATTTTGAAGGATTAAACTTTTTTTTATTCTTAATCGGTGTTTAGTCTCAGTTTTGAGATCCGACAAACCTGGAGAACTAAAATGTTCTTTACTAAAATCGGTTTCATTTTACGAGCTTCGATTTGAGATTTCAGTACTAGATTTATACTAAATTTTAACTGATTAATTGTAGTTTTAATGTGGAATTTTTACTTAAAAATCTTGAAAATTTTCAACATGATTTTATTTACACGTACAACGCACGTGTCAAAAAATTAATTTACAATAAAATAAGGTCTACAACAAATAAAAAATGTCAAAAGTCAATATATTCAAAAAAATTTATATTTTCCTTCAAGAAGATACCTCTTTAGAAAGAGGAAAAAGAACTCTTATTTAATTGCTCTTTCCAACTTTCCACAACAAATTTGAGCATTACTTCATTTAATTCACTTTGCTATTATTAATCTTTCAATAGCAAATTTTTGCAAATTTCATTCATGAATACTTACCATGAGACTCCTATTTAAATGAGCATCAAAACATGTTTCTAGTATAAGGTGCTTTCAAATACTTTTTTTCTCTCTCAAAAGACAAAGAAAGGTATGATTAGAACTATGCTCAATAATTCTGTTTTTTATTGCAAATAAGTACAATTAAATTAATTTAATTTTTTTCTTTCAGGAAAATGTCTTCAAGTGCTTCATCTTCAAAGGGTAAGAGAAAGTTGAATGCGGTGAAAAAACTAAGTGTACTTATTGTGGCAAATGATGATATATCTCAAAATTCATATATATTATATCTTCAAAAGTTTGGAGTGGAGACATTAGGAGTAAGAAATGGATTAATGGCATTCAATATTCATGATAAAACACAAATGCGTTTTGATTTAATCCTGATGAGCTCAACTATGCCTATTATGGATGGTATCGAGGTAATTATTCATAACTAATTACAATTTAATCTTAATTTTATGTCTAATTGTTTACTCGAATGTTTTTTTAATGATATGACATGAATTGATATACATGTGTAACACACGTGCATATTTTCTGAAAGAACAATATAACGTTTATTTATGTGTGAAATGTGTTTTTATTTTATTGAATGTTTTTTTTATTACTAGGCAACAAAAAAGCTTCGATCGATGGAGATTACTACGATGATTGTGGGAATAACAACTCCAGATGATAATGAGGAATATCGCAAAAAATTTATGGAAGCTGGGCTTGATGAATGCTATGAGAAGCCATTAACAAAGGAGATACTTCAGAGCCTTGTTGACAAAATTTCTAACAAAGTTTAATATTATAGAAGAAATAAATCATCTTATTATAAGATAAGTTATATAATATAGTTCTTTAGTCATGTACTTGACCTATACAACTATTACTTTTAAATTTGGTGAGTATTAAAGATGTACTAGTAGACATATGATTATGATGCTATATATCCCTATTATTATGAACTAGATTAATACTTCTTTTGTTGTTTTTTTATTTGGAGTCGTATATCTTGAGGTCGGACTAATTTGAAATAATTAGAAAATTTATTTTGAGCGATAACGTTTTTATTATCTTATTTTTCATTCAGTGTTCAAGTTTTTTGTTGGAACAACAAATGTGGGTATATTTCATTTAATTCGATTAGCTATTTTAATTTTCCAATAGCAAATTTTTGCAAATTTCATTTATGAAAATTCTCATGAAGCTCCTATATATTTAAATGGACATCAAAGTTTTTTTCTAGTATAATGTGTATTCTAAGTGTTTGTTTCAAAGACAAAGAAAGGTATATGTACTAGTAATTTATTCTTCATATAAGCGTAATTGTTTACTCGAATTTTTGTTTTATTAATATGAATTCTATTTTAAAAAATATATATGACATAACTCGAGATACACGTGGTTACATCGTGGTTACACTAGTAATATTATCACTTGAATCCTTCAAAAATATTGTCCATTCACGTTGGATCCAACATACACTCATATTTTCTGAAGTATCCAAACAACACAACTTTTATCAATGTGCGAACCGTGTTTCCATTGTTAAAACGATTAATTGATTTTTTAATTCTTTTTCAATTTATAGGCAACAAAAAAACTTCGATCAAAGTTTAGAAAAAAGTCAGAAAATAAAATGATCATTTATTATTATAGCAACACAAATGTTATGAAATGTTTACAATGATCATATATCATTGTTTTAGAAGAAATAAATCACCTTATTATATGACTAAGACCATATATAGCTCTTTAGTCATGTACTTGAAATTTGGTGAATATTAAAGATGTAGTAGACATGATCACGACTCTTTGAAAATGTCTCCGGGTGCATGTCAGATCCTCAAAAAGTAATTGTGTATTTTTAGAGGAATCAACACATGTAAGACAACATTCTGGAGAGTCCGAGCAACATAGTTTAGTATCATTTGAAACACGTTGGTGGCCGAGCCAACAAAGTTTCTAAGAACTTCTCTGCATAGTCCAGGCCACACTGTGTCTTCACAACTGGTAATATTGCAGGGACATCTAGATAGAATTCTGAAACAGACTCGTCGAGCTTGTCCCAACGTTTGAGCTGTTCACGTGCTGCTCTAATGGCTGCTCTTGTTGCACAATGGACCGAAGCTGCCAGAAACAGCGGTGGTTCACCAGATGCTGCAAAAAAGTGATTATAATAAGATTCAACAGTTTGTATAAACTGAAGCAGATTCAGAATTTGAAGTTTATAGGTTCCTGCATTGAGCTCAAGTTAGTATACAACAATAACATAGTTCACTAACAAGTACTTATAGATATTTAGTGGATTTTTTAATATATCTATACAAAATCTGGACAAAAGTTATTGCATTCCTGTGAACTCATAGATTGAACTCTAGATGAATGAATATGCATGCATGTACCGTGTCGATCCAAGGTGAGATTGAATCATGATCACTTGAAACAGGTTGACAATACTCTCCACTAAACCAAATGCAGAATGTGTTTAAAACCTTTTCAGGACGTTCAGTTATGAACGAACAAGCAAAGAACATGGAGAACTCATTTGACACATGGTAAAGCTAAAGGAAATGAAGAAAAGAGTTATACTTTTGGACGAAAGAACACGTTGTTCGTGATGTCCACTGTTTACGAGATGAACATTGAAATTCTGGGGTATGGTGTCAATAGTTGGGATCTTGTATGTCCAAGTGCTATTTGAGACCATTAACCCATCTTCATTTGCAAGATATTCTTCGTTCATGAAAAATCCGATTCCTTGTACAAAAGAACCTTCAATCTGTAGCAAGGAAAAGAAAAACAATCTTGTGATCAAGAATCAGATAGTTCTGAAGTTTGAATAACGGTTCGAGTGCATGATGCATCTCTTAATCGTATTAAGCGAATTCTAGTTACAAAATTATGATGAAGGAAAGAACCTGTCCCAAATCAACAGCTGGATTCAAGCTCTGTCCGCAGTCGTAAATAACATCCGACTGCAAAATGGTAGTCTCTCCAGTCAGAACATCTATCTCCACCTGCAAAGAGAGTTCTATTGTTAGTTATCCATATGAAGATATATTGGCTGCAAAATGGTCCACAACCGGAGTTCCCTGCCATGGGTTGTGTACTCATATATATTGAAAATTGATAGTCATTGCATACGATTCACTTTCAAGATTTCTTGGTGGTGAAATGATACACACGAGACTCAAAATCTCATGCTTAAGAGGGTGGAGGTTCGAGTCCACTTCAAGGCATAATATATGAGCATTCTCAATAAGAGAGTTTGATCGGATCAGTACTGATATTCCAATCTGTACTGATAGTCCGATATACTGACAGGAGTAACAAGTTTACCTCACTGACAGCAGCGCCGAAGGTCAAATAATTCAAGAATTCTGGCACATAATAAGAATTTGCTGCTAAGTTTATTGATTGTTTTTGTGCCTGCAAAAGAAGAAAAAATGATTTCAAATATGACTTCAGAGTATTTTATCTTCTGACTAATTCAAATTTAGCATCTTTGGCATCACGAGTTCTGTTTGGATATGGCGAAATGTTTATAAGAACAAGGTAATCATTGATGATAAGGCGTCTCTTGCAACGAGAACATCTTAAGAATACAAGTTCACAGTGATTTCAAAAATCAATCCAGAAAACCGAAAGTGACTGACTGTGACAAGTGTGACTTGCAGTGTTGAAATGTTGAAAACAAACCTGGAGAATCAGCGTTGGCCAATCAACAGAACCATTTTTTTCCTGCAACTGTTTCTTCAGAGGGGTCAATCTTTCAACCAAGATATTACAGCAAAGTTTAACAGCTGCACAGCTTGATTCCGATGTAGTGCTTCCATTCGTTGGCCCACCTTGCACTACACTTAAGGTGTCTGCCTGTATGACTCGTACTTTCTCCACAAGGTCTTCAGCCCAACTACTTTCGATTGAACCGAGAGCATAGGCAGTCATCTGTCTAACCTTTGTCCATAGCCCTTGGCCAACTTCAACCCCTCCAACCTCCACAACAATTGATCCATCTTGCAGAATACTGACTTTTCCTGGTGTCGGTCGTTGCGAAGCATGGTACACAGCTGGCACTCGAGAAATACCCCTTTTCTTCCATGTGTTTTTCTGGTTGAACTGTTCTATCATCTTGCTTCGTTGGAAAAAGCTCGACGACACTGCCAACTTATCCAGGATACTAGGCAATGTATATTCTCCTTCTGCTACAATGTTACCATAGAATAACTTAAGGCTTTCAAATGTATGAGCATTCTCATTTCTGACTGAATCCACCTCAATCGACAGTAAACTTGCGACATGCTCTATTATAGCTTCGGCGATATAGGATCCTTGCACCTCACCAGGACCCCGCATGATCGTTTTGCTGGTGAGATTTGTCTTGCATAGTTGTATATCAAAAGATAAGGCACCCCAATTATATTTTTTTAGTGTATTTATCAGATATGATGGTATGATGGGGCTCATATCAACTGTGATCCCAGCATTTATCAATATATCAAGATGTAATGCTGTGATCTTTCCGCTCGACTTGAATCCTACACTGTATGTTACTTTCATCGGGTGTCGTCCTCCTGTCATTATCATGTCACTGTTCCGGTTGACATATATCCTGACAGGTCTTCTTAACTTGTATGCTGCTAGTGCACAGGCAGTGGAAACCTAAAATTATTCATAAACTTTAACATCAGTGTCAGAGATTGTTATTATTACTATTTCTTTTTCGTATACTCACAGTCATTGCTTTGACAAACTTGCCCCCAAAGGCACCTCCAAGCCTTCTTGTAATTACGCGGATATTGTGTGCAGGAACACCAAGACAACGGGCAATCATACTCTGTGCATTCTCAGGGCACTGGCTTGAAGTATAAACAACCATGCAGTTGTCTTCATCTGGAATTGCGAGGGCAGTCTGTGCCTCCAGATAAAAATGGTACTCGGAACCGAATCTTAACTGGAAAATGATTATTATAAGAAACGATAAGTAATATGTTTGAACCTTTAGCATACACCACCATACTGGAATCAAATTTAGGAAACCATTGTAACAATGCTATGCTCTCAGTCTCTTCAAAAATGCTACCAGGTGCGTGCCGAATCCTCCAATAGTGCATTTTGGAGGATCCACTATGGGTACGGCAATATTTTGGAGAATCTGAGCAACAAAAACCAAATATGAACAGTAGAGAAAACAAAAGTACCTCAGCAGAGTGAATTTTTTGATCAGCTTCAGCCATTCCTTTTGAGAAATCGCCAATCTGTGCAGGCTGAACAGATAGAGGGACTTGGATAAAACTAGATTTCTCAACAGCTTCCTCAACAGTTAAAATGGGCGAATCTACATTTGTAGTGTCGTATTCAATGAGGGCTGTTGTTGCAGCCACATCAGCAGACCTCTGACTGTCAGCAACCTATGGTGTTTCAACAACACAGGGAAAAAAGTTCGAAATTTCAATGGTTTATTAGTGTATGAGAAATTAACATTGCATAAAAACCAATCTCAGCAGAAGGAAACTTGAAGTGCTCACCACAAATGCAATTCTGTCACCAGCACAACGGGAGAGATCTTCAGCAAATAAGGGCTCGGAGCCAAATGGTGAAACAGCTCCTACATTTGCCCCTCCTGTTGGGATATCTTTGTAAGTAATTATGGTGGTGTCTGTTAAATGATTAGGCTCAAGCTGGATTCCCTTGATACCAACTAATGGTTTTGTACTGTAGATAAACGCTCCATGCAAGCAGTTTGGTGGTGAAGGAATGTCATCTACATAAACAGCTTCACCTGAAAAATATTATATAACCAGCAGACACAAAGTTATAGTTAAACTGGTGTGCAGATAAGCTATTTTGTGTTAAATAAAACAAAAACATGGCAAGAGGAATACATGACAACAAGGGCAACAAAAGAGGAATGAATCGTAACACAATGTTTTATCCAAAGCTGAGAGAAAGTAAACTATTTCCTGGATCTCATCTCTTAGAATAGACTTTCCCTCCTGTACTTGCTATTACTTTAGTTGTATATTTTCACTTTAAATATCACATATCATTTTCAATTTAACTATGTGGCTTGGACCCTCCAAAAAAGTTGTCCACCCCTGTTGGAAGCTTACATTTTGAAGTGTCCGAACAACATAGTCACGGACAGGAAAAATTGGTATGAAATTTTCTACTTTACATGCACAAGATGAAATAAAATATTAAAAGGGGATAACAAACCAGCAGCTTGCATGGCAGCTTGGATCTTCTTCAACGGTTCACCTACCGGAGAGTACTCCGTACTAAACTCCACAACCTGCTTAGAAGAAGATAGTAGTGTTTGTTTTTTCCCCAGACTAATGCAACCATCAAGTAAACCACCAGAAATAGAAGAATGAACATCAGTTAAGGGATAAAGAAACTCAAAAACATAACTGACGGCCAAGCTTGATCTGTACTCAGGGTGTAAAGTGCCATCTTCCGGTACCACCGCTAGTTTGACTAATTTAAGTGCTTCATACAAAACATGTACACTCAACAGTTTCCCCGTTAGAAATTCTTCTACCTTTTTAGCCCTTGTTGCATGTTTTGTGCCATAAGCCCCAAACGCCAAATGGATATTGTTTATCAGGACGCTGTTCTTGCTGTGAGCAACGTCAGCCTGGAACGCAGCATTTACATATGCCAATGCATTCCCGTGAGGTCGTGGAGCAGCTCGATAGGTTTCAAACAAAAATCTAGAATGAGTTTGGTGAGAACTTTGATCTTTCTTAAATGGGATGCAAACACTTAGAAGCACAGTCTTTGATTCTAGTGGTGGTCTTGATAATAACTCCTCCCATGTGAGGTTTTCAGGTCCATGACTGGTCATCAAGCTAACAGTAGCAGAAAGCCCGAGAAGTAATGTAGCGATATCAGAAGGAAAACCATTCTTCTGTGCCATAACCAAATTTCCTCCCACACTAGCAGAGTTTCTAACAAATGGTGAAGCAATCTTCTCCATGTGGTCAGCCAATTTTTGGGATACCAACTTCCCATATGAACCCAAATTGATATTACTTTCCTCTTTCAAGACTGAAATGAATTTAGAGATAGTCACAGTTGCTCCAACTTCAATGCCTGTCTGATCTCTTTTGATGATTGAGAGTTCAGGAATGTGTCTGAGATCAACATAATGATCATATCGCTGAGTTTCCTTATAATAACCTGTGCCAGTATTACCAACGACGAGTTTAAAGCTAGCACGATTTAGCGTCACATTGAAGTTCAACAAGCTCCATAGCTCCTTAATGGAAACAGGACTGTACCAAGGGTACTTTGAGGAGTCCAAATTCGTGGCGGATTCACTTTTCAAGAACTCAGGATATGTACTAAAATTCTTGGTTGGATCATAGGGAGGTAATTTACTTACTTTAATTTCCTTGGAGTCGCCCTTTTTCCAAAAAGAATTGAACCCCAAATCCTCTATATCAATATCAGCAGCAAAAGTCTTGCAGGCATCAGCAATGGGCCGGTAGCCAGTGCACCGACAAAGGTTTCCCGCTATGGCATTTTCAGCTTCAGATGAAGTTAGCTTAGAGAATCCTGGTGGAGGATTGGGTTTGTTTCCTTTATCGGCGTTGACGAGAGCTGAGAAAAGTGACATACACAGGCCAGGAGTGCAAAAGCCGCATTGAGAAGCATGGAAACCGGCAAACCTTTCATGAATAGAGTGAAAACCATCTCTGGTGTTCCCAAGGCCTTCACTTGTAGTAATTGAACAACCATTTAAACTACAAAGAAGTGTAAGGCATGAACTCACACTAAAATCTTCCACTTTTTTAAACTTCGGATCATACTTTGAGATCAGAACAACACAAGCCCCACAACCACCTGTAAGCATACAAATAAGTTATGTTCCTTCTGAAACCAAAATTGTGCATTTGTTACCAAATACTTATCGGATTAGACGGACGATGAAGAGATATACCCCTCTAAAAGACTTAAGAAGCAGTATTTCATAGTCTAAATGAAGTCAGTAAATAAGGAATTACATAAATTAGTTCACTATGAAACTTCAATAATTCATGCAGTGCGTACAATTATGACACCTGGCCTAACTCAACCTCAAAAGCTAACTCATGAAGGAATGAATGTGGGACTTTAACCACTCTACGCCCCTTTCATGCCCAACCCCAACTGAAGCGTGAACCGGGAGCTCAAACGAGGATAGACCTGACACTGATACCATGTAAAGATATGACACCTAGGCCTAACTCAATCCAAGAAGATATCTCGTGAGGAGAGGATTGCGCATGGCCATATAAACAGATCACTAGTCCATTACAACAATTAAGCATACAGTGTCCCACTCCCAACACTTGAAACCCGAGTCTTTTGTTTAGAGGTGAAAGAATCTTTACCGTTCTACCACACCTTTCAATGGTCATAGAAGACTTAAAAGAGCACAGAAATACAGAGATGCCAAAAAGCATCAAAGGAATTCATAATAAGTTATCATAAGCTTTCTGCAGATGACTGGTGATTAAGAGAAGTACACTAGAATTTATCAAATTCCATGAACATTTGCCATAAGAAAACAAATTTAAGGAAATCCAAGATTCTAACATTCCTTATGTACTAGCACTAGGAAGATTGAGATCATGAGATGTCAGGTTCAAATTTCAACGGAGTCAAAAACACTAAATTTTTCTTCCTACTAGTTCCTGCGTTTGTCCCATGCAATTATTATAAAGTTGAATTATTATATAGAAAATGTTGAAATTAAAAATATTAGTTTTACCAATTTGAATATTATTCATTAAATAAATTCATAACAATTGAATAGTACATTGACCATCAAGCAAGAAATATGGAAAACTAATTAAGATACTATAGCCTCTAATAATATGAATATATCTATATGACTTATCCTTAATAACCTCTCATTGCGCTCCCGTATCAGTAAGTACACAAATATGTAGCTACTTAAAGAAACCATATCAGTAAGGAAAGGATAAAGGAAAGAAAATATTATAAATGTACATTTTAAAACGAATATAAAAGTCATAAATTAGTAATTTCAGCACTAATAAAAATAGACTTATAACATTCATAATTTCATAGAAGATTAAATTAAAGAAGTATAAATCGGTAAAGAATATCAAAAATTAAACAGATAAGAACAGATACAACATTCATATCCTTCTTAGGACTTTAATTATAACAATATATAGAGTAAAAAAAAATACATAAGGAGTAGAGTTCTTGATGATACCTTCTTCCGTAATCAATCAAAATTAAAAGCCTTAATAATGATCCAAGTGCTTCACTCCTTATGAATGGTACATAGCATATAAATTTTAAAATAATTGAAAATCCAAAAAGAGCAAGAAAAAGTTAAATGATTTTCTTGACCACATAGATATGCCATCACTTGGACTTCCTAAATACTATTAGTTTAAAGTTTATAGTTATTACCGAAAATTTTACAAATCTAAAATACTAAAAAGAAACTCTAAAGGTTGAATAATTGTGGAATATGAAAGCAATTTCACCACATTGAATTGAATGAACTAATGAGTGAGAATGTATCTATTTTCTATTGTTTCATTTTAATGAAATATTAATAATAGATAGGTAAATTTACTTTTTAATACCAATAATTAAAGGATTAGTGTTTAATTAAATACTCAAATGACTATTCAACCTATAAAGGATAATTTTGTAATTCAACTTTTAACTTTTTTTGTTCCCAATTTTAGTGTATATATATATATATATATATTATTTTATTTTTTCATACAGTTAATGTGACAATAACCTGAAAATAAATTTAGTTTATCAATTAAAAATGATGAAATGGTCTGATGGACCCTTATACTTATATGAGTTTGTATTCAGGACCTTCTAACTTAACACTTTGTCAACTGAATCTTTTAACTCAATGAAACTCAACATTTTAAATCATTTTGTCTTTGTGTGAACTTCAAACGCCCAATGAAAATGGCATGTCATCATCCACATCAGATTTAATATGAAACGTCATTTATCATTTAATTTTTTTAAAAAAAATATTTTTTCTTCTTTTTCACTCCTCCCTTCATTGTTTACTTGAGCAATTTCTAAAACCCTTTCCTCCTTTGATACCAAAGAATCATTAAAATACCTTAATATATTTTAATATTTACACACAATTTCACACAATACACTTCATCTAATTTCATAAAGATATTAAACAATTACTTTTCACCATTCAAAACTATCGGATCTTGTCACTTTACCCTAGAAAAAAGAAAAAAAACAACAAATCAAGAACAATTTTGACAGCAAAAGACTTCGAGATACTCATTAGACATATTTCTTCCGATAACTATGTTTATCCCACCAGATTTCGGAATTTTCCTTTGCTGATTATGTTCAATTTTTTCCGCACAATTTCATTGTTAATTTGGGGGAAGAGAAAACGAAAACGAAAAAAGAGAAAGAAATTGGAAAGAGATGGTTGAAGAGGACAAGAAGTGTGGATGGTTGGGGGAAGAAGAAGGAAGTGAAACATTTATTTTTAATTTTTTTTTCTTCTTTTTATTCTAATTTTCTTTTTCTTTTTAATCTAAATTTTTATGTCTACGGTCCTTTTGTGCGTGAAATCATGTATTTGTTTCAACTCATTAATCAAGTTGCCACATAAGCCCGCTCAACGGTCAGAGAGATTTAAAATGTTAAGTTTCATTGAGTTAGAGGGTTCAATTGACAAAGTTCTAAGTTGAAAAGTCCAAAATACAAACGCATACAAGTACAAGGGTCTATCAGATTATTTCGCCATTAAAATTTAAAATAACATAGAAAAAGAGAAGTAAACACAAGAACGAGGAAAATATGACAAAATAAGAGTATAATAATTGTTCCACAAAAATTCAGATATTTATAAACAGTTAAAAAAAAGCCATCTAAAATGGTAAAGATAAAACTATGATACAAAATATCATTCTAATTAGGATCAAAACAAATTTTAATATTTCAAAACAAAAAAAAAAGTACCTAAAAATTGCCTAATGATTCACATCAACAGGAGGCAATTGGTAAAGAAAAATTACTTTTCCATGATGATTTATAGGATAAGATGAAAAGGTGAAGAGTTGTTTAAGTTAATTTTCAGAAGTTAATGATCTTAGACATGGGAGAGAGGAAAGGTTGATTGTTTTTACTAATAATTCAATACATTTAATCACACTAATTATAGAGAAAGGATAAAAAAATATAATCCATTTAACCACACTAATTATAGAGAAAGAATAAAGGATAAACGCTTTAATTATCTAATTTTTTCTTTTATAAAAATGCTTTATCTAATTAACAAATTTAATCCATTTAAACGTAACCGTTCTTAAAAGAATTTGATAAAGCGTTTTTATAAAAAAAAAGAAAAAAAAAGTAATTCCTAACAACTTTCTATGAATAATTTCTAACAATTTTCTATGAAATTTTTTTGTCTTTCAGCGTTTGACTTTACACCTTCTTCTTTTTAGTATTTAGTATAATATAATATAATTATTACTTAGTATTTAAATAATTAGATATTTAATAATATTTTAATTTAATGTGAAGATAATATGGTAATTCAACTTTGCATATTGGAGCTTCCACTTTTAGTATAATATATATATATATATATATATATATATATATATATATATATATGAGTAGAAAAATGATGAGATAGTAAATTTAATATCCCAAAGAATTTGAACATGCATGAATTTAAATAAAATTATTATTTAATATTAAATTAATTATATATTAATATTTAATTTAGTTTAGGGATAAAATAAGGGCAGAATGATAATTCAACTTTTAAGTTAAGAGCTTCTCACTTATAATAATATATGATATGATATATGATATATGATGATATGATATGATATGATTTGTCCAAGCCTTGACAGACAGAGTTACTCAATGTTGTGTATAGGAGTGGCAAACGAGCGAATCGAGTCGAATATGAATCGATCAAAAAATGAGTTAAATAAAAATGGATAAGTTACTTGACTCAATTCATATTTTAAATGAGTAAAATGATTTACCCAATGAATAATATGGGTACCCATATTTACCCATATTATAATAGAAATCTTGTTAAAAGCTTTAAAACAAAGAAAGAATTAAAGTTTTTTTTATCACTTCACTCCACCCCCTACTAACCCCCCCTATCCCAAAAAAATGTTTAAAGAAAATAAAAAAATTACCACCCTGCCCCTACCACCCGCTCCCTCTCCACACCCCATCCAAAAAAAAAATTAACAAAAATTTAAATTTTTTTAAAAATAAATTACCACCCCACCCCCCCACCAGCCCCCCTCCCCTCCACACCCCATCCCAAAAAAAAAATTAACAAAATTTTAAATTTTTGCATTAAATTTTTTTTTAAAAAATTACCACCCCACCCCCTACCAGCCCCCCCCTCTCCATACCCCATCTAAAAAAAATTAACAAAATTTTAAATTTTTTCCAATAAATTTTTTTAAAAAAAATTTACCAACCCCCCCCCCCCCCCCCTACCACCCCCTGCCCCTATACCAAAACAAATGTAAAAACAAGTTTCATTTAAAAAAAAATAAAGACTTTCTTACTACCCCACCTTTTATCACTTTTTTGTTTGTTTGTGTGAATGCAAATCTTTTATCCATTTAACTACCACTTTTAAATGGATAATATGGGTATTATTCATTTTTATCCATTTTAAAATGAGTTGGATATCCAACCCATTTAAAATGGGTAAATATGAATGGATACCCATATTAATTATCCATTCTGCCACCCCTAGTTGTGTTGGTGGGAGTTAACAAGGTACCCCTGAAACTAGTCGAGACACACAAATGGGGAAAATTTTTAACATGGTAGAGGCACAAC